GTAACCCTAACCAACAATTCAAAAGAGGGCTTCTCATGCGTTTTTTTTTTTGTTTGTTTGTTTGTTTGTTTGTTTATTTATTTATTTATTTATTTTTTGTTAGGATTTTTCCATGGGCTTTGGGGATCTGAACTCAGCCCTTCATGCTTGTGTGGAGGCACTCTATTGAGTGAGCCACATCTACAACCTGACAGCTGCTTTCCATCCTGTGAAGCACACACTCACAAGCTATGAAGGAAAAAAGTATGATACAAAACCTAAAACTTCTTTGAACACATCAATAAGAAAGCTGAGAGACAAGTCACAGCCTGGAAGAGATTTGCAACACAAATTACAGGCATAAATTATATGTGCATATATATGTAATGCCATAAAATCAATTCAGATGAACAACAAACAATACACAAGACAAATGGGTTAATTATATAAATAAGCAAGCCACGGAGAAGGAAACAAAAACATCCAATCAATATGTGGAAATATTCCAATTATACTAGCTATGCAATTCAACTTTCATACAAGTGATGGAAATATAATCAGGTGCTAGTGAGGGTGTGAGGTGATGGGGCTGGGTTCTCATGTTCTGCAAGCTTGGACTGGCACTGGTGTTTGAAGAGCTAACTGAAAGCAATAATGAGAAACATGGGCAGACAATACAGCACAGGAAAGCCATTTCTAAAAACCCACCCTGAAGGACACTCACATATATTTACAAGGCTATTCACCAAAGCCATAATTATGAGTGAAAGTATAAAACACCAGAATTCTGACCATCAGTGGAATAAACTATATATTACAGAAGGTTAAGAAAATGTTCTGCATAGTGACAAACATGGAAGGATAATCAAGTGGTATTCTTGTTTGTTTTTTAAGACTTTATATATATATATTTTAAGTGTGTGTGTACTGAACTCTGATCTGAAAGAATAGCAAGTGCTCTAGACACTGAGCAATCTTTCCACCCCCACTTCCCCACCAGAGTGGTATTCTAACATGTCACATAGTTTTAGGAAAAATAAAAAATAGTGTTCTAAAACTAAATAAAGTTAGCTATATATAATTCAAAATATGTGTGTGCTAATACACAGAGAATGGTCTAGAAACTTTCCACTAAGTGATTAACTCTGTGGAGACAACTGTGTTGGATAAGTGACAGTTGGAATGAGGAGTGACTTTATTTCCAATGTTCAAATGTTTTTAATGAGTATATTAACTTGTTAACTCCTGTAATTATAAAGCAAGTATAATCTATACAGCTTAAAACACAAATTTTAAAATCCTATGATAAAGGTATTGGGAGAGTCATGTGAGACCATACTGAAAGGAGAAATTACTTAGCACATAGGAAGATTTTATAATAGTCATGACATTTTCACTGGGCCTTGCTATTTGAATAGGACTTTGTCAATATTTATAATGTGATAGAAAGGTGATAGGCTTTTGCCAAATGCACATACTGGAACATACATGTATGTACCGACATACATCCCACCCAATGCTGTGTTTCTTTTAATGTGATATGACCCTCCATGGAGAGGCAGAGGTCTATCCTCTGGTCCCCTGAGCTTGGGCAGGACTTTGCAACTGCCTGAATGAACAGACATAGAAGTATGAAATTGATTATTCAGCCTCTACTGGGTCTCTGTGCTCTGCTTGGACAGAATATGCTCACCCTGGGAACCCAGCCACCATGCTGTGAGGAAGCTCTCACTAGCCCATATGGAAGGACCACTTAAACAGGCTCATGTGGAGAGGAACTGAGGCCTCCAGTGGATAGCCAGCAGCAAAGGCCAGACACACAAGGGAGCAAGCCTTCAGCAGATTCCTGGCCTGGCCTTTGAGCTCCTCAGCCAAGGCCCAGACATCTATCCATCATGGAAGAGGCAAACCATACCCACTGTGCCTTGTCCTAATTCCTGACCCAGGGAATCCATGACATAATAAATGGTATTTATGCCACAAAATTTAGACCAGCATGGTACCCTGGAACAAAGACAGTCTAAAGAAAAGGGACTCCACAGAATGTCACAGAGCCATGAGAGTACTGGCTGTTTGGGGGTGATGGGACCAGAAAGATTGGCTGAGATCAAACTATGGAAATTTCCTATGACAATATGAAGAAATTAGATTTATCTCACTGGCTGCAGAGAGCTGTTGACAGTTGTGAAGCTGGGAAGTGAAATGCTAGGATCTGCATTTTAGCAAGCTGGGAAAAGAAAGGCTTAAAAATAGGGAAAGATCTGGGGAGATGGCTTTGTGAGCCTGTCTGTAATCCTACACTCAGGAGGCAGAGACAGGGTCTCAGGGCAAGAGGGCTAACAAGCTTAGTAGGAATTGGTGAGCTCTGGGTTCAGTGAGAGACCCTACTTCAGTAAGAGAGCCACTGAGCTAGTACATCTGGTACTAACTCAAGCTTCTTCCACATAGGGTATGTGCATACACTTACACACACACACCCACACACGCACACACACGCACACACACGCACACACGCACACCATACTTATACATTAAAAATAACAGGAAGAGCCCCTCTGACTGAGATGGACTCTGGCTAAGAAAAACAGTGGAGGCATGCCCTCGTGTACATGTTCTGTGGCTCCTCCTCTTCAGGGTGGCCTCTATTCTCACCTACACTCAGCTTCACTTGTGTTAAAGTATTAGAGAGAAATACACACACACACACACACACACACATATATATATATAAATTCAAAAGCCTACCTTGGCTGCTTACTTATCAGAATCTGCAGAACCCAAAGCAACCAGAGTGTCCTATAGTGGGCAAATCAATAAGCTGGTCTATCTTATTCTGCACTCAGGAGAAAGGAATGATCCAGCCATGAGGAGAACTTTCAATCAGCTCAGAACCTCAAAGAAGCCACTCTGAAGTGGTTATGTGTTCATGATTCCAATGCTATCACACTCTAACAAAGGAAAAACCATTAAAAAAAAAAAAAAGGTCAGTGGCTGACAGAGCTAACAGGGGCAGGGGTGAATAATAGAGCACAGAGGGACATGGGACAAGACCACACTGTATAGTAATAGTGTACGTATGCCATGCCATTCAAACTCACAGACTGTCCCACACCAAAGTGACCTGGGACAAAGCCACAGACTTAGAATGACCATTACGTCAATACAAGTCTGACTGTAATAACCGTGGATAGCAACGAGTTGTGTGTGTTTTGCACAAGAGCAGAGACACTCTGCACTTTCCATTGAGTTCTGTTGTGAATCTAAAAACTGCTCTCAAAAAGAGAATCTATATTTGAAATGCTAGGAGGAAAAAATGTTAGGCGATGTCAGAATACAAGAAAGTTTTCCTTATTCCTCTTTCTTCAAGCTTTTGGATTTGGGCTGTTTGCTGTAAAGGGCATTAGAAGAATACTAAGCAGGGCAGATGTGGTGGTGTTCTCCTTCAATCCTAGCACCCAGGAGGCAGAGGCAGGTGGATCTCTGTGAGTTATTTCCAGGACAGTCTGCTCCACATGGAGAATTGCAGGCCAGCCAAGGCTACATAGTGAGACACTGTCTCAAAATTCATTCATTAATTAAAAAATTAAAATGCCAAGCAAACTTGTCCCTGAATTATGGCCATTTATAACAATCACCTATGCAAATGCCATCCCACACAAATATCACCATGCATCAAGTTTTGTTGTGTTTATTAAAATATTCTCTAAGTTCTTACAGGAGTTTAGAAGAACTATTTGTAAATGTGTGCTTGTAAGGAAAGTAAGTCTATACTAACACACTGTGTTCCAAGAACAGGGAGCAGAGAGAACCTAAACCATGAGGTACCACCTCTGTGAGACAGGACAGGCTGACTGGGAGCTAGAAAAGCAGAGACAAGTTGTGAGGGGTACTGAGGTACATCTCATTCATATCTTGGTGAAGGATGGTGCACCCTACTTACTGAGCAAACCTAGAGGAAAAGCCTATTACAACCAAGATGCAGTGCAGTGTGCGGTGTGTGCTTAGCATGCATGCCATGAGGCCTGGGCTCCATCTTCAGCTCCAAAGTACACTGCAGATTGGGACTTTATGAAGAACAGAGACAGGAGGCAGAGGTTCATCCAGAGCCAGACTGCACTGGGTCCTGACAACAGCAGAGCCCAGATGGGACCCAACATTGTCATTTATTGGAGGCGACTTTGTTATCATTTCGTATAATTTTATCCTGTGCCCTCTGCCCCAGGAGGTTTTGAGACAGGGTCTTACACTACAGTCCAGGTTGGTTTGGATGGGGCTGGCTTTAAGTTTGTGGCAATCCTCCTATCTCACCATCCTGAGAGGTGGGGCTCTAAGTGTTAGCCACCACGCCCAGATTATACTGTACCCTTTTCTAATGTTAATTGTTCAAGAGATGATTAAGTAAGCTGTGAAGCAGATGTTATTGTTATGCTTATTCACATTTTCACTTAATGCCTTCTTTAGAAGGATCTCATTCATTAAACTTCATCAAAAATAAGTTACATACTAAAACTGGGCTGTAGAGGTGGTTTGGCAGTTAAGAACACTGGCTGCTCTTGAAGAGGACCCAGGCTCAATATCCAGCACCCAACAGGTGGCTCACAACTGTCTGTAACTCCAGTTCCAGGGGGACCAGCCACCCTCTTCTGGCCTCCATGGCACAAAGGCACACACAGACAAATGTGCATGCAAAACACTCATACATATTAAAAATAATAAAAGTGAATCTTTTTAAAGAACAGAAAATAAGTTTTCTGCTCTTTAATGCTTTCAAAAATAAAGGATTAAAACTTATAGTTAATTTTTAGACAAAATGAAAAAGAAGTGAAAGAAATAAAAGTCAGTGAAGCAAACCACTGACAAAATGGGAGACATGCCTGGGTTACATTTATCATACAGTCCTGTCCTGGGTTATCAAAAATAAACAAGGCAACTGCTGTTTTGTTTCAAAAATCAAATCTCAAGTTTGCATAGATTTCCCTTCTAGTGCATCTTACTCATGTTTCTGTCCATAACCAAGTTACCTGCATCCCAGAGTTTGCAGACTTCTGCTTCCCCTTCTGAAAGCCAGGAAGTAGGAGAGGTGATGGAAGGAGGTATCTCAGGCAAAAGTTGTTTTGGACACTCGTCATGCAGCAATGTTAGGTCCTGAGAGAAACAAGAAGGAATACATGTACTGAGAAACCAAAACTGCATCAGAGAGATGGCTCAGCCTCTAAGACTGTGCACTGTCCTCAGAAGGACTAGAGCTGGATCCCAGCAGGTACATCCAGCAGCTCCCAACTGCCTGTCACTCCAGCTCCAGGAGACCTGATGTTTCTGGCCTCAGAAGGCACTTGCACTCATGTATACATACCCAGACACATGGTCAAAAGAAAATCATGTGACTGGCTAGTTTTATGTCAACTTGATATAAGTTACAGTCACTGGAGAGGAGGGGGCCTCAGTTGAGAAAGTGCTTCTGTAAGATTGGGCTGTAGGCAACCATGCAGGCAATCAGTGATTGATGGGGGCAAGCCCAGCCCATTGTGGGTGGTGCCCCCCTGGCCTGGTGGTCCTGGTGCCTATAAGAAAGCAGGTTGAGCAATCATGGGGAACAAGCCAGTAAGTAGCACCTCCCCCTACCCCATGGCCTCTGCATCAGCTTCTGCTCCCCCCCCCCCAGGTTCCTGCCCTGCCTAAGTTGCTACCCTCAGTGCTTTGATGATAATTAGTATATGGAACTGTAGTGAAATAAACCCTTTCTTTCCCAAATTGCTTTTGGTCATGGTTTTATCACACCTATAGTAATCCTAACTAGGACATCATGTTTGGGATCTGACATGAATCAGCCAGGAGACTAAGCATTTCTATCCCAGGCTCCTACAGATCTGTCCAGCCTGTCTGTAATTTTGACATTTAAATTGTGTTATATAAATGGGACCACAGTCTATAGCCCTTTAGAATTGGCTCTTTTCATCCAGCACAGTTGCTAGAGATTCACCCAAGTTGTGCACACCAAAAGTTCCTCATCTAACCCACTCAAGCACTGGACCTAGGCCGTTATGTATAAAATTGCCGCATGCAGGTTTTTATATAATGTAAGCAAATTTCCATATCTATGAGATAATGACTAGGGGTGTCATTGTTGGGGTATTTGGATGGATGTTATATTCAAGTTTTGTTGTTTTTGAGATAGGATCTCACTCTGTAGTCCAGGCTGGCCTGGGACTCACAGAAATCCATCTGCCTCTGCCTCTGCCTCCTGAGTGTTGGGATTAATCGTACCCAGCACAAGCACATACTCAATTGGTTCTATTTTTAAAGATTTGCTTATTTATTTATTGTGTATGAGTGCTTTGCTGGCATGTGCATCTATGTACCATTGTATTCCTGGGGCCCATGTGGGCAAGAAGAAGGTACTGGATCCCTTGGAACTGGACTTAAAGGGGGTTGTAAGCTGCCATGTGGGTGCTGAGAATCAAACCTGGGTCCTCTACAAGAGCAAGAAGTGCTTTCAATAATAAGCCCTGTCTCTGCCCTGTGTGTTCCATTTTATAAGCTTCTACCAAATTGAAGGGTGACTTCATCTAAAATTCCTACCATCAAAACAGGAGTGGTCTGATCCCTCCACGCCCACATCTGTATGCGGTTGTCCCTATTTCTATTTCAGCCATTCTAATTATTTCACTGTGTCTTCAGGCTGACAATGCTGGCTACCTCTCCCAGCATTTCTTTACTATCCATATTTGCTGAAATACTATTCATATTGTTTGCCTACCACCTGATTTCAAGTTTGCCAAGTTTTTCCATAAATGGGTGCTGGACTCTATCAAGTGAAATTATCTTATGGATTTTTCTTTAGCTTGCTGATAAGACAAATTACATGAGCTCAGATTGCCAAGCTACCAACATAAGTCAAGCCTATCAGACTATGACAATCTCTTCTATCTTGTATTTGTATCTCCTTTCTTCCATGCGAAGGATATAAAAGATAATGCAAACAGAGTGTATCCATGGTTACCTGTTGGATCTTGCACACATTTAAACTCATCATCATCTTAGAGCAAAAATACTAACTTCACAGAAGAAAAACCCCAAAGATACATTAATTTCATTTTATATTTTAATAATTATGTTTTATAATGATACAAAGCTTCCCAGATTCTAAATGACAAAAATCTACATGTGTGCACTCATGTTCGTGCGCATGCATGCATTCTTGCAAGAGCACATGCCATCACAAGCACTTGAAGGTTGGAGGGTAATGTGGAATGCCCTCTTTGACTGTATGCCTTATTCTCTTGAGACAAGGTCTCTTGACACTGAACCTTGAGCTCACTGTTGTGTAATAATGCTCCTTTCTCTGCCCTCTCCATCCCTCCACACAACACTGCAGTTGCCAATGCTTGTGGTCACACACTCTTTATGTGGTTCTCAGGCTTTGAACTCAGATCCTCATGACTGCACAGCAAGCACTCTCAAGGAGTAAGGCCTCTTGTCAGCCCCACAAATAAAGTTATTGGCAGAACAGAGCTTTCAAAAGTAGAGCAGGGCTCACCAGAGTGTTTTTTTCAAAATGAAGGAAATCTATGTTTATAATTGACACTGGTCTGTTTTCTTCCTTCATACTCTCCAGAGTTTTTATCATTAAGTTTGATAATGTTATTTGTAGCTTTTACTACCTCAAAAACCAAAACTAAAACAAACAACAAACAAAAAAAAAACACCTTCTTTTCATGCCTGAAAAGACTGAAAACACACACACGCACACACACACACACACACACACACACACACACACACACACACACACAAGGCTGCAGATTTTTTTCCTTTTGGTTGCAGCTGTTTCCATAGCAACTGATAGGGATGTTATGAAGTGGTTCACACAAAATTAAGGCTGACCAGAACCTTCTATGTCGCTGTGAGTTGCTAAATCAATACTGATGGATGACAAATGTCTGTTCTGCTGTTTCTGCTAAGTATTTTGCAAAATGAAGACTATACAAATTTTGCCCTTTGGTTTTATTCCTGTGCATTTTTCCTATTTGCAGAGATTTGCACTCAACAGAGTTGCTAGAGAAGTGGGAATTATACTTATTCTAATTATGTTTGTTCATCATTCTCATTTCTGCTGCATCATTGCTTCTGCTTAAAAGTCCATTTCAATGTCTATATTTGTGAATTATTATTTTTTAGAGTAGAAAATACTTACTGAAAAACACAAAACAACATGAATGGTATAGAGTGAAGAACAAAGCTTCTGCTCACTTCTCCAAGTTGCATTCCTCTACTTGGGGCAACTGGTACTCAGTTTACTTTATGAGTTTGGTAGAAATTTTTCTGTGTCAACACATATTTTTAAAGCTAAATGGAATCACTGTGTGTGTGTGTGTGTGTGTGTGTGTGTGTGTGTGTGTGTGTGTGAATACACATATGTATGTATATGCACATTACTCTCTAGCCTGCCCGGGACTAAGCAATCTACCTTGTTCATCTTGCTATATGATGAATGTAATCATTCACTGAGCACTGTCCCCACATCAGCTTCTTTTGCTCCAGTGCACATTACAAATGTCCTTCTCTCAGGATAGAGCTGAGCTGTATTCCTGATGTGTGAATTAACTTAATTATCTCCTATTGGTAATCATTCCAGGATTTTTCTTGTTTCTATCTATTAAAATTGTTGCAATAAAAAGCTTCATACAGCTATCTTTTCAAGCTGCATGTTCACAGTGGCATCACTGAGCGCTCACATGGGCTTGTTTTCAGTTTGAACGGCGCCAAATTGTGCTCTCAGAAGTCGCACCTGCTTGTATCCAGCAGTGTGTTGGAGTGACTCTTCCTCTCAGTGCAAATACAGGTTGGTAGCAATTACATCTTTTTTCCTCAGTGTGAAAGCCACACAATTTTGCTTTACTAATTACAGATGAGGCTAAATAATATTCTGTGAGGCATTTCATCCTTGCACGTGTACATGTTTAGTGGTGTAAATCGGATCTAGGACCTTAAGTACATAAAGCACTCTCTACCACTTAGCTGCAGCCCCAGCCCCCTGCTTATCAACTTCTTAAAGAACTCTGTTATGTTCATTTATTCATTTGGGTGTATATTGGAGAGGCACACATATGCCACAGTTCATATATAGTTAGAGCACTTAAGAGAGTGGGTTCTCTCCTTCCACCATGTGGGTCTCAGGGATTGAACTCAGGTCCTCAGGATTGGCAACAAGCACCTTCCTCTACAGAGTCATCCTGACTGTCCTCCTCATCAATTTCCAAAACTGCTGATCTATTAAAGAAATATCTCATTATCAGCTTATTGTTCATTTGCAGTTTTTAACTTCTTAAAACTTTTTATACTATTTTTTGCCTTATACAAGTCTTTAACTTTTATGTAGCCAAATCAATTTATCATCCCATTATTATTTGTGGAGTTTAAGTATTCTTAGGAATATTTGTCTAACTCTTAAGACTTTATAAAAAAAAGTCTTAAAAACAAAATATTTCAAAACTACTTTGGGTTTACAGCAAAATTGAGTAGAAGGTACAGACCTCTCTGTGTACCTGTCCATCTTCCTGGCAGCATTACTATAGTCATGGTCTCCGAATGGTAGGGTTGCTGCAGCAAACTACAGACACACGCTCACTCAGGTCTGTAGTTAACACTGGACACACCTCTACTGCCATTCATGCTTTGGGTTTGGGCAAAGGTCTAACGACACATGCTGATCATTACTGTACAGAGTAGTTTCCTAAAAGCCCTCTGCCCCCTTCCTGTACCCAGAGACTCCAACCCTTGTACTCTCCAGAGTTCTGTCCTTTCTAGACTCCTATTACAGATTCTTGTGGTACAGACACTTTCACTAGCCTCTTGCTCTTACTAAAGGGCATTAACATTTCCTCCATGCCTTTATGGATTACTGGCTCATTTCTTTATATTTTATGTTAATTTTCCCCACTATTTTTATTAGAAGATTTAAGTTTACATAATGAGAACTAGTGAAAGAGGAACAGCACTAAAATAAAAATGAAACTTGGGGCTGGAGCAGTGGCTCAGTCAGCAAGAGCCCTTGCTGTACAGGCATGAGGTCCTGAGTTCAGATCCCCAGCACCTGTGGTAAAAATAGTTTGGTGTGACCATGAGCATCAGCTGCTCTTCCAGAG